GATACCCAGTCCTTCCCACCAGAAATGAAAGAGTGACTTTTCTACTTAAAAAAGGAAAAGTTAGTGAATTATTAACATGAATGGTTATTCTTTGGGAGACTGGGAAATTAGGTTGTTAGAAAAGAAGTAATCTTAGAACTAGAGCTTCTTGAATTAGTAAGCTGTACTTGGTGGTAAATATAATTGTTTGATCTGGACTCTTGAAAGAGGACAGTTTCTCAATTCCAAAGCAGAATTTACCAATCTTATTCTTCAGTTACTGTGGCTTTTGCTTCATTGGCAACTCTGTACCTTTCCGGGGAAAGCTGGTAGTCTGGCACCTAGAGCCCAAGAACTTTAACTGGTGATTGTGTACCATGAGGCTTTTTCCTGTCTGTTTTGAAATTGCTCCAAACTCTTGACTATTCTCTTCTGACTGGGATGAAGTCAGTCGTTTGACTTTCATGCGCTATTCTGCTGTACAAGTTCTGCTGATGAGGCAGGAAGCTGAGAATTGCCAGTCAAAGATACATTAAGTAGGTAGTTGTCAAATTTGATGTTTATTGGAGAAATCTGGAGGCTTGCGAAAGCACACATTGCTGGGTCTTGCCCCCAGAGATAAAGGCTCATTAAAATGTATACACATGTAACACAGTCCCAGATAGTGACGAACAGCTCATCAGAGGGGACTGCTCTTTGAGAACTACTCTGAAAAACCAAATATGGAAGTCAGCCTACACGGAACCATTGAAGTTCTTCATGAAATCAATGCATTTAATAAGCTGTCTATCATCTTACTCAGTACTTAAGGAACTTCGAAAACAGATTTTCAAAAAATTAGTAATCTCTTATGTACATAGAAAATTGGAGTTGTCTCCACTTTCTCTTGATGGAAGCAGTATTATTAATATCAACTGAACACCCAGAACTGGGTTGCCTGCTTGGCTTTAACCTCTGTCAGTAATTTAGCCCATGTGAGTTATGTAAGATTTGTTAGTGGGGGGCCTCTCTAAACTATTTCCTCCAAGAGCAAATACTATTTACTCCCTACTACAGTTTATTAATTCAAGAGGCCCTAGTTTGAAGTTACTGTTAATATTTGTCATGATCTAATTAATTTTCTGTTTTCCAGATATGATTAATAATGTGAATATGAAACTAACTTCTTTATATTAGTAGAGATAGTAGGGTTTTGTAGACTGTCTAGTTGTGTTCACATTCAAGATAAATATTCTTAAAAAAAGTTTATAAATAAGCACCCTTCCTTTTCCCAGGGGTATACACAGAAATCCGTCCTCTCCACTTGCCTAACTTCTACATACTGGTCACAGAGTCCCTTTGGTATAGAGCAGCTCTGCCATGGCACTAATCTTTGTGTACCTTGTTCACAGTGTGTGTGCCTTTGGTCACATCATGACTTGGTCTTGGTCATGTGGTACTTGCTTGTGCCTATCTCAATGTGAATGAATGATGCCTTCCTTTTTTCTATGTGTACTTCACTTACACATCCTTCACGATTCCCACAGTCTAGGCTCCTGACATGGCAACCCAGGTCCTGGGTGCCTAGTATTTATTAATGGTGCTACCCTCAAGAGAAAGTGGAAAGAATCCTATTTTCCTACATGTACAAAACATGTTTTTTTTTTAAATTTGGAAAATCTGCCTTTAATATTGTTTAATTAATTAAATATATTCTCTGGAAAATATCACTGTATCTGTTTTCTAACTTATCCAGAAAGAAAAATAGCAAGGAATGTTGTTTCCTTAAAAGCTAGAGACCTCTTGTGGTCATTCATAATAGTACTTTGAAAACAGAATTATTTGAATTTGTCAGATTTCCAAATTTCTGACTTAGGTGACATTCATTTAAAAATACAAGTATTACCTAAAACCTGCCAAAATACATCCCATTAGCAATAAGATTCTACACTCAGTAACACACACACACACACACACACACACACACACACACACACTGAAATATATATATATTGAAATATATATATATTGAAATATATATATATATATTGAAATATATATATATATATATATTTCAATGATAGAACTACTATCTAACAAATTTAAACTTTATCAAGTCATCAAACATAGGAAAGTGTATAAATCATAACTGTTTTGTTAAAGAACATTTCCAAACTCTATATATTTGTGCACCAGACTATCTGGTAAATTTTTATTATAATTTATAGGTAAGATGACTAAAGCTCAGAGACATTGTATGTTGTGCTTTATTACAGTATCAAATTCATCTGGACTTCATGCACTAAGGATTACTTAAGTGGCTAGGAATTACAGACATAATTCAAAAGAGATTACCAGATTACAGGACTATGGTCCCCTTTCCCCCCCAAAAAAGGGCTTTTCTGTGTAGTTTTGGTGCCTGTCCTGGACCTTGCTCTGTAGACCAGGCTGACCTCAAACTCACAGAGATCCGCCTGCCTCTGCCTCCCGAGTGCTGGGATTAAAGGCATGCGCCACCACTGCCCAGCTAGGACTATGATTCTTAATTCACTTTTAAAAATATTTTTTCTGTTTTTATTATTTGAGAATTTCATATTGCCTGTAATTTGTTTGTTTTCGTTATTGTTGTTCTGATTTTTTGAGACAGGGTCTCACCATATAACTCTGGCTGGCCTGGAAGTTGCTCTGTAGACCAGGCTGGACTCAAACTCACAGAGATCCTCCTGCCTCAGCCTACCTGCACACCACCGCCACTTCTTTGTTTTATAATTTAACACTTTGTTTGACTGGCTGGTCCAGTTCCTCTGCTTTGTCTGCCAGCCATGCTATTTTCTTTTCCATTTGATCCGTTCTGTTGATTTATCTGGGTCTGGCCTCTTTCCTCCAGCAGCCACAGTAATGATTACATTATTATGATGTACATTTTTACAACAATGTACACAGGCATGAATGATACAGTTAATAAAACTCTGAATAAATACGTGGATGGAAAAGAGATTTTATTACTCTGAACTGGCCTTTATTGTTCTGGAAAATAAAAGGAATTTTAGATCATAGAATTTAGAAACAGTTTTTCTAATGCCTGTTATGATAAAAAACAGAACAAACCTCACCATTTTTCCTTATCATTTAATGATATTTTGTACTGTTTACTTTTTAAGAGGTAAAAACAACATTTATTATAGGATATTTAAGACATAAAAAGTTTAAAGAAATAATAAGGAGCTGGATGTAATGGTGCATGACTTTGATCCCAAATGAGGCAATTGGATTCCTATGAATTCAAGGCCAGCCTGGTCTACATAGTGAATTCCAGGTCAGCCAAGGCTACATAAACTAAAACACTAAAGGGAGGGGAAGGAGAGAAGGAGAGAAGGATAGAAGGAGAGATGGAGGGATGGAGAGAGAGAGAGAGAGAGAGAGAGAGAGAGAGAGAGAGAGAGAGAGAGACCACCTATATGTTACATGCCTGATATGTTAGTGAGGCAGATAACACAATAGCATCTAGAAACACCAAATGAGCCTGCCTTAAAGACAATGAGTTAAATATAATTGTAGTCTTTTTTTGAGGGAGGTAAGTTAAACTATGGTGGTTTGGGCCTGGGGAGCTGGCTTATCAGTTAAGAGCACTGGCTGCTCTTCCAGAATGTGGGTTCAATTTCTAGCACCCACATGGTGGCTCACAACCATTTTTATAACTCCAATTTCAGGAGATAGCCCCAGGCATGGTCCTTTTCCTCATCATATAAGTCAGCATCCTCTCACAGGAGCAAGCATCCTGGGCAATGTCCCAGGTGCTTTAAGTATTTTTTTCTAATTGTATTTCCATACCAGTTAGCATGGGTGTGGTGGTTTGGAAGAAAATGCCCCCAAATGGAGTGGCACTATCAGGAGGTGTTTGGTTTCCCTTTTACTCTAAGAATGAACTGATGGGGTGTATGGCTCTGAGCATCCTCCCACCCAAATGACCCGATTAAAAATTGTCAAGGAGCTCAGTTCTGCTATTCAAAGACATCAAAATATATTAAAAGCCCATTCAAATCATAAAAGAAATATGAAGAACAATAAATGAAGTACTCTGAATGGGAGGAAAAATTCCACAAGCTTTTTGTCCCTTTCAGGGGCCTTCTTACCAGAGCTGCTGTGTGCCATGCTTTTTCGTTTTCTGTGCATTGGCCCTTAAACTATCCTTATTCTTGTGACTATTCATGTTGTTACACCTGCCTCCAGACATCTATATCATGTGCCAGGCACTAGATCTTACATGGCAAATCTTTGTTTTATATATGTATATATATAAAATATGTAGCATCTCTCTCTCTCTCTCTCTCTCTCTCTCTCTCTCTCTCTCTCTCTCTCTCTCTCTCTCTCGTGTACAGGATACAGCAAAATGCCCAGAACATAGTGCTCAGGTAATATTTGGTAGTGAATTATAAAGGAACTTGTTTCACAGCACTATTTGTATAAATTTTCTGAAAGAGACACTTTGTGAATTTGCTGTGATTACAGATTTTAAGAGCTATGCAGTTATAAGTAGCATTAGAATATAGAGTGAAGTTGTCCTGATTTATAAAGGGACTATTTTAAGGTAAATGGGCTTGTGAATAGTATCAATGTTGATTGTACTATCTTATATATGTACTCAATTTTCACAGAAACCTTACAAATGAAATAAAATGATCTCTCAGAAATGGAAAAAGCAGGACACAATCCCAGGTATTTCTTTTATAAATGTCCATACTTAACCAAAAGGCCATTTTACAGTGCCGTTGTTGATTTATTCATAAGATACATACCTTGTGACTCCATAGTAATATCTTCTAATGAAAATTCATTGATACTTAATCCAATTGCTTTGCCCGCTAGAACATTTGCACCAAAGTAAAAGCCCTTGAAGTCTTGCGAAACTCGCGCTTTTTGCCCAAGCAACGTGCAAAGCCCACAAGTAATTTGCTATCATCATTTTTCCTTGCCCTCCAAACTAGACAGTCATAGTTTAGAAATTTTCCCTACCTAAAAATTCATCCCATTCCATCACGCAGGTAACTTCTCAAGGGCCTCTCCAGACCAGGCGCCGCAGCTTCCTTGGCCTGAAACTACATTTCCCAGACGCCAGTTCGTCTGCGGAGCGCGTCCTTCCCGCCGCAGGGGGCCTTGGGAAACCAAAGGACGCCGTGGAGAGCTTCCCTGGCGCGAGGGCCCACCGGCGAGCCGAGGAGGCTGCCGGACCCCCGCACCCCGAAATGGCTCGCAGGCAGGACGAGGCGCGCGTGGGCGCGCCCCTGAGGGCGGAAGGCGGGCCGGACGCGGAGGCCAGGCTCATTCTGTACCACTGGACGCACTCCTTCAGCTCTCAAAAGGTAACGGCCAGGAGCCGAGGGCCGGCGCTCGGCTTCAGCACCGGGACAGCTCCCTGGCCGTGGCGGCCCGCGGGCCTCCAACCGGGGGGCCTGCAAGGCTGGGGTGCACCGAGTGAGGACCGGCAGAAGCAGGATGACTGGGGAAGGCGGTGACGCAGGCACCATCCATCACTCGGGAGGCGCCGCTGAGAAGCGTCCCACTCAGCATTTGGCCTAGAGGTTTTGCCCTCTTGAGCTCTGGGCCCTGGAGAGCCAGGCAGGAGGAGAGTGCGTTCCAGCAACCCCCTAATCCTGGGGGGTGGGGGTGGAGGAATATATGTATTATACACACACACACACAGAGTCATAGAGTCATAGTCTTTGAGACAGGATCTCGAAGCGCAACCCTGGCCAACCTAGAACTTGCTGTGTACACCAAGCTGTCCTCAAATCTGTGTGCAACCTTTCCACCTTGGCTCCCCTGCTGTTGGGATTGCAGTCTTGGGTCACCTTGATAGTTCTTCGTTTTTTGTTCCTTTAAAGACAGAAGTTAGGTATTTAGCCCAGAGACAGAATCCTTGCCTAGCAAGCTCAAGGCCCTGGGTTTGGCAATCTCTAGCACCAGAAGAGGGAAAAAAAGACAAAATTATGTGAAGACACTACCCCAGCCAAAGGGAATGAAATTGCTTTTATTTTCCCACGCCTGCATTCTCTGGCAAAGGTCCAAACATGTATTTGTATTGAAAGTGGTCCTGTAGCGGTTCAGCTAGAGCTGGAGTTACAGGCCCTTGTCAACCACTCAATGTGGGTGCTGGGAATCAAGCTTGGGTCATCTGCAAGAGCCATACATTTTCTTAAATGCTCAGCCACATCTCCGGCCGTCTGTTTCAGGGTTTTTGCCTGGGGAGGATACATAGTTTGGTTTAGGGCACAAAGGCCACCGTGATGAAGGAGAGAGAATGATTGTAATGAAGACAGAATAACTTTCCCTCCTCACTTTTTCTTCTATAATTTATAGAAGTGAGCTGCCAGGATGTTTCTCATTTATTCCTTCTAGCAACAGACATCATTAAATGAACATTTCAAGTGCTGCTAGCTCAGGAAGCCAACCAAGGTGGCTTAGCTGAATCCAGAGAAGGCTTTTAACTGAAAACGGTAGTAACCCCTGTGAACTCTTCCAGGTGCGCTTGGTAATTGCTGAAAAAGCATTGAAGTGCGAGGAACATGATGTAAGTCTGCCCCTGAGTGAACACAATGAGCCTTGGTTTATGCGTTTGAACTCAACTGGAGAAGTGCCTGTCCTTATCCACGGGGAAAACATAATTTGTGAGGCCACTCAGATCATTGATTATCTTGAACAGACTTTCCTGGATGGTAATGTTAAGGCTATTTGTGATTTCTTGGCTTTATTTTCAACATAAGCCCCGCCCCCAACCTCTCCCCCTCCTCCTCTCTTTCTCCCTCTCCTGTCTATTTTATGGTGGTGGTTTAGTGATTTAAAAACCTTTTCCATTTCCAGAAGTGCACAAATATACACCTATCACAAATTTCAAATAGGCCAGTGCAAATGTTAATGTCAAAACTTTCAAATTCACTTGCAGAAAACTGCAGGTATGTGGTTCCAGTGGTGGTAATTTATTAACCTTAAAGTAAAATTCATGATGTTGATCCTTAGTATATATATTGAAAATAAATTTCATCTTAGAAACAAGAGGAAAAGAGGATTAAGTATTAGAGAAGAGGGAATAGATTGTTACTATGGGTTCTTGGTTCTAGTTACTTCTGCATAGTTTTTAATCCTTTCTAAGGAATTATAGGGTTTAAATATGTGTCATGTTTTTAATAATGATCATTTATGGTTGCTTATATGTCAGGCATTTTATATTTCAATTTTAGCCAGTTGTCCAGAGAGCTCCTTAGAAGCAGGTGTGGAATCTGAAAGAAGTGTAGGAACTAGTCACTCCCATTTTGCATGGGAGGAAAGAGAGATAGAGGGTTTGTCTAAGGTAATGTAACCATTTTATGGCAGGGTCTTTGGTCTTCAGATGTACCGTTTCCTGTTTCCTTTGCCACGTACAGATTGTCCTGCTTGTTTCTAATGACAGCCCTTTCGGGTCAGCTGTAGCTTAGTGACCAGACTAGGCTGACAGAGCAGACATGGCTGACCACTAGCAGAACTGACAGCAGAGTGTAGGCTGTGCATTTTCTTCAGTTCTCTTCCAAACAGCAATCTATGGGTCATCCAGCTGCTTGCTACTGTCCTGATGCTAACCCAGCCATTAAGGTCAGCTTATAACCCCAAATTAAGGAAGCTGTGGAAATAAATTAATGGGCCACAAAATGTCTGAGGTACCTAGAAGGAAAATGGATATTAGACATAATGGAGGAAATAGATTAGGAACTCATAATCTTATCGAGGTGGAGAAGTGCCATAATTTTTAATCTAATTATTTTAAGTTAATTTATTATTTGTTATTATTAATTTAAGTTAATTATTCAGAACTCTCCAGAAGTTTTAACTGAAGGTGGCCTTGACCTGAACCAAATGGCGTGAAGAGCTGCTTTCCTTTCATTACTGGCTACCCATATATGTCTAGATGCTGGGGACTGTGGAAAACGGAGACTAATTGATCTGAGAAACATTTTCTCAATCTGGAGCTTTTTGGAAATGGATAAGACTATTAATGATTTGTTATTCTTGAGAGAAATGATTAGAATAATAGGAACAAAGCAAAAATAATTGTGTAAGAATTCTATTTTAAATGACTAAAACTTTAAAAAGATAGCTTATTTTCATGTACTATATATAACACCATGTTACATGTATTATATAACATTATATATCTATATCTATATATCTATCTATCAATCAATCAATCACGTATATTATATAACACATGAGAAATAATATATAAACCTTGCTTCAACTAATACAACTTGTATCATTATTCCAGTTTTTCCTTCACATTTGCTTATTCTCTTCTTTACCTCATATGAAGCAATGTTTTATAGTAAATGTTAATTATAGTTGGTTTCTTAAAATTTTCCTTAGATTCTACTTTTATAATATAAAAATAATTTGCTAAGTTATATAAACCACAGCCAAATGGGAGGAAAGGGGTTTTGTTGGTTTGTTTTTGAAGTAGAATTTAAGCTCAGGTTGATCTCAGATTTGCCCTGTGGAAGTAACTCTTTCTTTTGATAACTTTGTTGAACTAGATAAAGCACTGGTGAATGATAGAATGGAAATGTGAAAAGCATGGGCTTTAATTCTGGTTGAGCTTCTTTAGTGAGGGAGCCATTAACTGCCCTCCACACTGGCCTGATGCTGCTATTCACTTGTTGAATATTGTTTGTAATCATTGGACTAGGTGATGCAATTTTGTCATGGTAAGATAAAACAAATCCAACTAACTCTTCGTTTTCTTCTCTCCCAGGGGAGTAGTTACCCAACTGGGGAAGATTTAAAAAGATTAGGACTTCAATAGTTTGGGGCAGATATGATGACAGCCAGACCAGTTTGCAGGTCAAGATAGAATTTACCTCAGGATGTAGAAATTTAAACAAACAGCAAACATGAGCATTGCTGCAGTTGTAATCCAGACAGTTTATCATTAAGAACTCAGGGGAATAAGAAAAGAGCCATGCTATTTGTCAAGGAACAGGACAGATGGAGTACCAACCTTGTCAAAGTCTATTTCTTCACCAGCAGCATTGACATCATCTGATAGATTATTTACAATGCAGAGTTTCAGGCCTCTTAGCAAAGCGAGTGAGTTTAGGATCTTGTTTGACAAGAGGCCCAAGTGATTTATGTGTGCATTAAAACTTTAGACGAATGCTATAAATTACTGTGTTATGCGCAAAGCAATGCTGCAAATTACTCTATCTGGCAAAGTTTTAGAATGGATTTCTAACTTATTTCTTTCTTTTCCTTTTTCATCCTTCCAAGTTGGAGAACTACTTTGCTTGGAAAGAGGAAAGAGTGAAATAAGAGTTGGCTAGTTCTGTTTATCTCTGCAAGTGATAACATTGCTACAGTTTAAAAAAAAAACTTAAAATTTTAAGTTTTTATGTCTGTCAGTAGAAGGAACTAATTTAAGTTTTACATTGTTGGAGAATATTATAAATACCTTTTAAAATGTGTCTAGTATGTATAAACCATGGTTTGAAATGTAGTGTATTTTGATTCAAGAAGAACATTTGCGATTATATAATGTTTTTATGGAGTAAAGACATAGATATGACTAGAGATTGATAAGTAAAACACATATGCAGATGAATTAATTACACACTGAAGAATATTGATGCATAAGTTTATTACACAAAGTTGACCCTCCAGCTACAAACTCTTATTTTATTTATTAATATTTAGATGACTTTTAAATCACTCTAAGAGCTGTGAGGTCAGAGACTATCTCATTAAAAGCTGTACCCTTATGCTTCCTTTAAGTAGGTACTCCAGAGTAGATATTTGATAAATAATTTTGAATGGATAAAATGAATGAATTATGGGCGGCCTACCCATTTCTCTGTGGGAGGCCCACTCCCACTTTTCCTCCAGGGTACTCTAGAGGAGTGAAGAGTGAGAAATATTTAGATAGAAAGATAGAGGGTAGAGAAACAGACAGAAACACAGGATAGCCTCGGGAGGGCCTGGATCCTTATCCACTGGCCCCTTCTTTCTCTTCTAAAGGGCCTTTTGTAGGAATGCCAAGGGGTGGAACAAAAGACTTCCTCCTAGCACAGCCAAGTACAGACCCTTCCAATCACCTGGTAACCACACATGTGGTCAAGTCATCCTTTAATGCAGACCTGCTTGGGTAAAGCAAAATCAGGTATCACTAGGTAACTCCCTCCCATTGTGGGAGGCCTACCCCTTTCTAAACAGAAACAAAAGGAGTGGAGACTTCTGGGAAGAAAACAGAAAAGCTCCCTTAATTATGACACCTTCACTTAAGTTTTCCAGGGGCCACTGAGACCATAAAATTGTATTCTGAGCTATCATAAAAAGTGTTCAAATATATCTGAGGGTAAAAGAATAATAAAAACTTCAAGATGCTTATAATGTGATTGACTTGATTTATCCTTTAAAAATTAATGTTACCTAATTTGTCCCGACTAGACAGATATTGATGGAATAATAATTTCTAGTACATATTTCTAGTACATATTTACACTTTTTACAAACTTACACTCAACATTTACACTTTATATATTTACAAGTAGCATGAATATCATTATACATATTTACACTTTTTACAAACTTATGTTCAAAAGGAAACTCTACAGAGCTATTTTACAAACTTTTGCACATATCTAAAAGAGATTTTTTAAAAGTACTATTTATATTATTCTTCCAACAAGATAGAGTATGCAAATCATGAGTAATTACCATACTGAGCTATGTTAAAGTTCTTAGAAAAAACTTTCTGCACTACTATTAGGAACCATCTTTCATAAAGGAGCCTGCATTGAAACGGAAGCGGTGTGACTCCAGGTTCCATTTCATCCTAGCTTTTCTGGAGAAACGTCAGCAGATATGGTATTATTAGAGCTGACATTTCTTTGTTCTATACACCTCACCAAACTCAGGCTGCCATCAAGCTTCTGAGGGTACAATTTCCCCATTTTTATTTATTTATTTTTCCCTTCCTTCCTTCCTTCCTTCCTTCCTTCCTTCCTTCCTTCCTTCCTTCCTTCCTTCCTTCCTTCCTTCCTTCCT